GTCTAGTTTTGGCTTTTCTATCCCTTTCATAATATTCTACCTGTCATACTATCCTTTTCTTGCATTAAGTGTTTTTATATTGTTATTTGTATGACTTGACTAAGAGAACCTGTAAGTGTCTATAATAGAAAGCAACAAAATTTCATAACATGGTACTTATGTTATGGTGAATAAGCATTTATTGGTTTAAACATTACTTTCTAATGCAGTTTTTCAAACTGGATGTTGCGATTCATTAGTGGGTAGAGAAATCAATTTAATGGGTCATGATCAGCGTTTAAAAAATCTGAGTAGAATAGAAAATAATCAGAACGCATTGCAAATATTAAGGGTTAGTATTGTTTTGTGAAACCTTTGTTTGAGTTACTTATATAAATGAAAAGAATGTGTAGCAAGTTGTGAAATAAATATATATTACTGTGGGGTATGGAATAAAAAGTTTGGTAACCACTGAATTGCAGAAATTCATTGGAAAGTCATTGTTATTTGGGATCTCATTTTCTTTGCAAAATAGGGCATATTTTCTTTCGGTCTTCAGGCAAGGGGTTAACCAATTGATTTCTCGTGCCCTTTGTTCTGAGCTTCTTCACTTGTTTGGATTACATGATTTTCTGTGTGAAAACATGAACTAAGCCTGATTGCTTACTGCTGTGTTAAAATATACATGAAAAGTCAAGCATAGCATCTGAAGGGTAGTCCTGCCTCTTACAAAGGTAGAAATGATCTTGCCTGTGGTATTATTTTCTGTTTGTATGCCAACTCATTTTTGACTTTGTGAATTTTAGATACTAACTGGTCTTTGATATTTAGGAACATTTAGTAACTAGTTCACAGTGACCTGTTTCTGTACTGCCATATTGAAGCTCAGCTATCATTCAAACAGTGCTTTTCACAGGATGGTTTTGCTAAATAAAAGTATGGATGACAAACACCAAATAGGATGATTACAAGTGGGGAACAGGGGAATTTTAAAAGAGCTGACTGAAGTAACTTCTTCAGCAATGTGGCAGTATCTCTAGCACTTGAAAAATGCTTGCTGTGGGGGACTGAGGAGTGTGGTGACTAGGATAATGTATAGAGCACTTGATCCTTTACAAAGGGGTGAGCCTGAAAGTGTGTCCTAAGGGACAGAAGATTCTTTTGCGTTGGGCTGATGACAGATGCTATTCAGAAGAGAAACCACATGTGTGTAA